TTTAGCTTAAAATAGTCAGTGTGGTGTCAACAATCAAAGGTCAGTCAGCACCCAGCCTTCTGGGCTGTAACGTGAGGAGATGTGTGTGGAGAGGCTTCATCTGTCCCTGTAGTGACCCATATGGGCAGCAGGACAGCTTATGGGTAGGCAGGGCTCAATGCTTTGCCACAGGAAGCTGTGTGAGTGATCTGCTGTTCCACTTCAGTCCATGTACAAGCCTGGTTGTGTTAGAAAATGAAGGTATGGCATTATGCTCACTGGAACAGGAAAATAACCAGTTTCTAAACCAAGGAGTGCAGTGTAACTGGGCTGACTGCAGTGCTTTGGCACCGAGGCACTCTCTGAAGCTAATCCTGGGGATGCTGCAGCTGTACTGTGTGATCTGGGTGATGGCCCCTGGGAAAGGGAGTAGCACTGAAATGGCAGGCTGCTTGCTGGGTGATCGGAGCCACCTTTCTGTTGGCTGCTTGGTGGCTCTCTGGTTCCTGCATATAAGTAGCTTGTAACACAGCAGAGGTGTGACTTCCACAGCAGGTGGCAGTGTGCTGGCCTGGCTGGGGCTTCTGCCAGCTCTTGTGCAAAAGCAGAACTGCTCTGAGCTGCTGGCCCTTACTGTAGGAGCTCTCCAGCTGGAGATAAGGCAAACACCCATTCTCTTTCAGCTGCCTTCCTAACGCAGACAGTCTGTCTGGATGACACAACGGTGAAGTTTGAGATATGGGATACGGCGGGGCAGGAGCGGTATCACAGCCTGGCACCCATGTACTACCGGGGTGCCCAGGCAGCCATTGTTGTCTACGACATCACTAACACAGTGAGTACTGCACCAGGGCCCCAGGTGTCTGCTGGGTGGGAGACATCTCCATTTGTATCTGATGCTTCTTAGTTCCCTGGGAGAATTTGGAGTGTAGAGCTCCTGCAGATGCCTGCCTGCAAGTACTGAGTTTCTTAAACTCATGGCCACTTCCTCGTTTCTGAGCAAGGCTGTCTAAGCTGATAAAGAATCCTGCTACAAAGTGCTGTAGAGGCAGAACACTTCTTACAGGAAAGACTTGTTCTAATCATATCTTCATTGTGCATTAATAAGAGGCTGCCTTTCCTGACTGCCTCCTGTTTACTTCCAGGACACATTTGTACGAGCCAAGAACTGGGTGAAAGAGTTGCAGAGGCAGGCTAGCCCCAATATTGTAATTGCACTAGCAGGAAACAAGGCAGACCTTGCTACCAAGAGAGCTGTGGACTTCCAGGTAAGTGGGAATCTGGTTCAGCTGCTACCTGAGCAGTCAGGAAAGCAGCTCTTTGGTCAGCTCTAGGAGGTATCTATGTCAAAAATACTTCGAGGAGAAAGTGTGAAGTTGAGATTGATGCTACTGCGGACCCCAGGGTGCCCCTTGAAGCCTGCCTTCCTGCCTCCTAGGTTTGTCACAATACTTGTAGCTCTTGTTGGTAACAGTTATGAGTTAAGTTATGAAGGCCCACAGAGAACAAGTTTGTATTATCAACTATTGCTGTCTTACTTATCAGGAGCTGTCTTCAGCAATGTATGAAATGGCATCTTTTAGATAAGTCACCTGAAGCTTGTTTTCTAGTCTTCACAACTCCTACCTCAAGTTGTCTGAGGCAGATTTCTTAGTAGAAGCTCTTATCTCAAAAACCAGTGCACAGAACTGCTTGGCAGCACATTGCAAGATGTGTTAAACTCCCAGCCAACCAAAGTACAAGGTGTTAAGTTGCTTGAGACATACTGTCCACATGTAGCTCACAAACAACCTGTGCTGCTGTATCCTGGTTCTTGCTGCTGGCACTTCAGTCATGTGCTGCATGTCTCCCAGCTGTTCTGGCCAGGCAGGGCTTGTGCTGGTGTGGAAGTGCCCAGTTTGGGCTGGGCAGAGGCTGTCTTCAGTCTTTAGTATGCCAGCAAGTGGAGTATGTGGAGCTTGCATGGGCCTCCTCCTGGCAGGATGCCTTTATCACTCTGATGTGATTGTTTCTAGGATGCACAAACATATGCAGATGACAACAGCTTGCTGTTCATGGAGACATCAGCAAAGACAGCAATGAATGTGAATGAAATCTTCATGGCAATAGGTAAGCGTGTGTGTGAAAAGGCTGTCTGGAGTAGCTCTGAGCACTGGCAGTACAGCCTAATGAAAGCCACAGAATCTGTGTCAGCCAGGTTCTGGGGGCTCTTACTGGAGTATGTGTATGACCAGGTTGCTAGACTTGTGTATGAAGTCACCCAGTTAGTGCAAACCTTGTTCTCTCTCTGCATTTATCTGGGGTGAATGAGGGTGGAGCAGAACTGATGACAGCTCAGAGCAGGTTTAATGTACTTGTGCTGCCAGCAGTGTCCAATCCTGAGCTCCTTAAGAGGTGGAGGGTTGGGCTGGAGCAGAGCTGAGCTCAGCATGTGAACTGCTCTGGGGAGGAGATTGGCCTCTATAAGAGCAGCCTGATAACGTGTTGCTTCTTTCCTAGCCAAGAAACTGCCAAAAAATGAACCCCAGAATGCTCCAGGTGGTCCAGGCAGGAATCGGGTGGTCGACCTTCAGGAGAGCAGTCAGCCCAGCAGGAGCCAGTGCTGCAGCAATTGAGCAGCTGATCTCACCTGACAGCCCTTGAAGGACGTGACTGGAATCCATGCTAACAATCGCACTTACCGTAGAGCGGCTGCTGCCAGTGGCTGCTGTGATTTCTCCATCCCTTTCTGATCATAGGCTGGAGGGAGTTCTTCCACCTGCACCTTTCTGTACAAATACTAATTCAATTCTAAGTCTTAAGTCACTTTTTTAATATATGAACTTCTGCTCTTCCCTCTTCCTGGTGGTGGTGGATGCATGACCTGGTGTCTGCCCAGCCAGCTCATCCCTTCCCACGGGTGAGGGCCAGCAGCACCCAGGTCCCACAGTACTGTAGTTCACTATTGGAAACAAAGGGATATTGAGACTAGACAACCTTGTTTAAAGTTACCCACGTGTAAAAGCTAAGGCGAATACCAGTACAATATGCCTAGAACAACCACTAAACTGTAGCATTATAGTGACAAACTCTGGCTCTTCAGCCACTTATTGACCAAATCAATTATGAGTATTTTGGGGTGGGGCAGAGGGAAGAAAAACTGATTTCTTCTGTATTTTGTATTGTATGTTTCTTCATGTAACCAATCAGTATCTTGTCAATATAGTACATACAACTAGCTGCCTATTGTCTTTATTTGTGTTGGACTCTAGCATGCCAACTTCTTTTCTATCTCTGGTTCTGTCGTAATGCACTAATCCTGTTGCAACTTTTGCAAAAAAAAAAAAAGAAATCTTGTATAGAAAATTGTCTTTTTTTGATGGTTGTGATGCCACTAATGTTAACCCTACTCTGGTGTGAATACACATGGTTTACTGATGTACAGAAGTGGGGCAGGGGAAACCTCGGATAACCTGTCAGCGAAAACTATGTATTGCAAAAACCTGTAATTCCACACAGTATGAAGGGAGGTATTAAAATGGCTTCTCTTGCCAGACTCTAACTGATGTTGGCTGCTGCCTAGTGCCTAATGCAGTGTCTTATGCATACTGGTATTTAAGAGGAACTGTCAAGCTAGTCTTCATCACAAACTTCAGTTTTGTGTGATTAAAAGAAAATTTTTATAAACCTACCATGATCAACAATGTTCATGTTTCTTAACCAGCTTAAGCAAAGGGGAGTGGACCAGAACACAACAGGCATGCTGAGGCCAGCTCTGTCAGGGCACATCTCTAAGGAACATGTGCCCATTTTTTCCTTGGCAGGGAGGTGTGTGTGCTGTTTTCCCCTCAAGTCTGGGTTGTGCTTCTGCAGCAGCCGCCTTGTGAGGGAGGAATTCCTGCATGGAGTTGCAGAGAGCTCATGTCTGTTATGGGGAGCTGGAGGTGGTTTGCTGCGCTCATCATAGTGAGTGTGCAGCAGCATACTTGAGGTAAACAGTGAGAACTGTTTGTCACCACCACTTCTAGGCTAAATAGCTATAGCAGAAGCTGAGGAGAGGTGGGAGGAGCAGTATGCATAGGAACTGGGAGTTTATGTGACAGTTGGACAAACTTAGGGATAATGTGCTCAAATATTAGTCAGCAAATGCCTCTGTCCCTGGTGGATGTTGTCATCAGAAGATGCTGATGCCATGTTGTTTCTGTATGGCTGTTCATCTGCTGGAGGAGCTTAGAACCCTCATGAGATGTCAGAGATCCCATTGCTTCCAGGTTGGTTTGTCTGTGCTGCTGGATTCCCCAACAGCAAAAGAAGGACCTGTTGGATGATGGTCACCCACTCCCAACTGAACAGCGTTGGGAACACAGCAAGGTGCTGTTGCCATCTGCTGGTTTCTTGTACAAGTGCTCCTGGTTGACGGGACTTCACTTCTGGCCCATGCCTCGGGGTCTCCATCTTCCTAATGTGGCTGTGATGCTCTCAGGGTCTCCTGCTGCTGCCCCAGCCTGTGCTGTTCAGCTGTGATGGGCTCTGGTTTGGGTCTATGCTCTGCAGAGCCTCTGTGCTGCTGGCACTGCTGTGAGGAAGAGCTGCATGAGCTCAGAGCAGCTTTGGCACAAACAGGTGTTGTGCCTGCAGACCTGCCCAGACCTGGCCCTAAGTGCTGGAGCCTGGTTCCACCCTGCCTGCTGCTGCCATCTCAGAAGGATCTCCTGCAGCCCCTTTCTAAGCTGCCTGGGGAGAAAAGTAGCTGTGACAGGATAACCTCCACCTAACATCTTCCAGCACAGTTGTCTTCCTATTTAGAGGCACTGGTCTGAGCACGAGGGCTATGAGATGGTGCAGGCAGCAGCACGGGCAGGAGATGCTGTAGTGTGGGAGAACAGGGATGTTCACCTGCTCTGAGCAGCACAGTGGGTCTGCTGTCAACTCTGTAGCACCGAGAGCAGAAAGGGTTTTACCCTCTCCATGCACCCACCAAGAGCTGAGGCCAGGGCTCAGCCACCCCATCGATCATCCCCCCAAAAAGAAGCACAACCAGATTCTATGCAAAAGGATTTTTTATTGGATACAAAAACAAGAACATTCCAGTATAGTGAAAAACACAATGGATGGAGCGTGTCTGGGCTACAGCCCAAGACTCACTGCCGTCTCTGCTGGTCCCGATGCAGACCATCGTTCTGCCCCATCACGCCTTGGCTTTGCTGACAGCTCCATCCTTGGCTGCCCCGGGCTGCGGAGCTGCGGGGCTCACCTCGATGGGCACGTTCCTCTCAGCAGCAGATGGCAGGGCCAGTCGGGGGGCCTCGATGCGGAGTTGCCCGTCTGGGGACAGGGAGCAGCTCAGCGCCTCGGCGTCAACCTCCTCGGGCACGTCCCACTCGCGCTTCAGCACCTCGTACTTGTAGGAGAAGGAGCCCTTCTCGTCCGTGCTCTGCGTCTCCTTCTGCCCCACCAGCACCACCTTCCTGCCCACCACCTTCACCGACAGCTGCTCGGGGGCGAAGCTCTTCACATCCTGGCAGACGGAGAAGCCCTCCCCGGAGCCCTGGGCCGGGGCTGCGCTGCTGCTGGGAGCCTGTTCTGCGGTGATGGGTCCGTGGCTGCTCAGGAGCTGCTCGAAGCTGCTCATGAACTGCCGAGCCTTCTCCATCTCCTGCTGCAGCTCGCTGAAAATGGTCTCTGCATGCGGCCAGAGGGTCCTCACCGTGCCCAGCCGGGTGGCCAGGGAGCTGGAGGCGAATGGAGCGAGGTGCATCCGGCAAAGCATCGTTGTTGATGTTGCTGCTGCTGCTGCTGCTGCTGCTGCTGCTGCTCTCAGCTCTTTGCTCTCAGCTGTTTCCTCTCCGGGAGTTGGGAGCGCTGTGCTCCGGCTCCGGCGCCCGCGGCTTTTATTTCCCTTCCCGGGAGGCGGGGCCTCGGCCCGCGGATGCCGTCACCCTCGGGAGAAGAGCGCGGCTCTTTCTGGCCCGTTCCAGCTCATTCTTGTTACTCATCGCTGAGGTGAGGCACCTCTTACCTCACGGCCCACATACCTTCGCTCTTACTCTTGCAGCTCTGCTCTCCTGAATTATAATTAGCAGCATCACCTCAGCCTCCGAGCGGGATGCCCGAGCCGCCCCTGCCAAAAATCCGTGGCCTTTCTGCTTCCCGGCAGGGAGCGGGGCCGGACTCCCCTCCTCGCTGCCACCCCCTCCCCTCGGCCCATTCCCCCCCGCCCCACTCTCAGGACCCCCCTGCAGCAATGCGTCCCACCCACCGGGCGCTGTCGGGACCCCACGGGACACACCGAGCAAACCCGTGCCCGCCCCACGCAGGGTGTGCAGGTGCTGCGTTCAGGGCTGCACGGAGTCCCGAACGCGGGGTGGGTCTGGAAAGTGCGAGAGGCGTCGGGCGGCGGTGACACCATCGGGGTGGGACTGTTCCTGCGCGGCGTGACCCGCGCTGCAGTGTGGGGCTGCGGGAGGGCTTTGTTTGCCCCCTCGGCCGGCGGTGCCGCTTGCTGCATCACGGTGGCTTTGCAGAAACCCGAGCCTCGGCGGTGACTGCAGCTCCCTATTTGCGGAGGGTGACTCGGCCCCAGAAGCAGGCGCTGCTATTTTGGCCGGCGGATAATCAGCCGCGCAAAAATAGGCGATGGCTCCAGGACGGTGCGTAGGGAGAGAGCGTTCTGGAAGGGGCACACCCCTGGGAAGAGGAGGATAAAACCCCGCGTCCCGGCGGCAGCCCAGCACCGCTCCAGCCCTGCGCACAGCCTCGGCCGCAGCACCGCAGAGATGCTTTGCCGCCTGCACTTCATGCCGCCCACCTCCGGGTCTCTGTTCCCGTGGCTGGGACCCGTCCGCACCCTCTGGCCGCATCCGGGCACCCTCTTTGCTGAGCTGGAGAGAGAAATACGGATGGAGATGGAGAGGGCTCGGCAGTTCATGAGCAGCTTCGAGCAGCTCCTGACCAGCGGGAGCAGCTCCAACCGCGTCAGCATCGAGCGGGCACCGAGCAGCAGCGCGGCTCTGACCCAGGGCTCCGGGGAGGGCTTCTCCGTCTGCCAGGACGTGAAGGACTTCGCCCCCGAGCAGCTGTCGGTGAAGGTGGTGGGCAGGAAGGTGGTGCTGGTGGGGCAGAAGGAGACGCAGAGCACGGACGAGAAGGGCTCCTTCTCCTACAAGTACGAGGTGCTGAAGCGCGAGTGGGACGTGCCCGAGGAGGTGGACGCCGAGGCGCTGAGCTGCTCCCTGTCCAGCGAGGGGCAACTCCGCATCGAGGCCCCCCGGCTGGCCCTGCCGCCGCCCAACGAGAGGAACGTGCCCATCCAGCTGCCGGCAGCAGCGGCACAGCCGGCGGCCAACGCCGAGGACGGAGCCGAGAGAGCCAAGGCGTGACGGAGCAGCGCGGGGCCGGGCTGAGCCCGGTGCTGGGGCACCGCCGGCCGCAGAGCGGGGCTGTGCCGGCCCTGACGTGGGGGGGGGGGGGATCTCTGGCCAAAGCGTGTAGATTTTTTTGATATGTAATAAACGTCCCCGACTTTTACATATACGGCTCGTGTGTTTGCTGGCTTGGCCTCGCTGCGCTCACGCAGCGGGACGGCCATCCCGAGAGCTGCGCTGTGCTGCAAAGGGCACATCTCCGGCACAGCTCTCCGTTCTGTTCCGGTGGAGAAAGGCGGCCCGGGGGCTCCCGCTCACGCACAGCGACACGAACACGGAGAGCCGTCGGGGACGCGGCGCCGGACTCTTCGGGAAGGCGCTGGGACGCTCGCCGCGCTGCCGGGGCGGGGACTGCAGCCGTGCCCCCCCGCACCGCCCCGCCGCTGCTCGCACCTTCCAGGCGCTGCGGGGCTTCCCGCGAAGGACGCTCCGCCAAACCGCGCCCATTCGCGGGGCTGCGGGCGGAGCCGCTCCATGTATGGGCAGACGGGCTCCGTCCGCTCCGTATTTGCCGGCTGTGGGTGTGTCTGCGCTCCGAATTTGGCGGCGCGGCGGATCCGTTCCCGCGGTCCCGGGCTCCGGGTCGGCGCCCCCCGGTGACCCCCCCGCCGAGCTCCGGCCCCGCGTTACCGGCGGAGCCCCGGGATGGGCCCTCCGAGCTGCGGCTCCACGGCGAGCCCGCAGGGAGCTCCCTTCGTGCTGGGACGCCGCGCCCGGAGCGCCCGGCCGCCAGCCCGGCTCCCGTCCGGGGGTGCGGAGCGCTGGGCGCCGTCCCGGTAACGCCGCGCTCTGCCCCCCCCGCTGCGAGCCGCCGCTCCCGGCGTGCCCGGCGCGCAGGCGCACTGAGCTCGGAGCGCACGCCGGGCCCGGCATGGCGGAGCCGGAGGCCGCGCAGCCCGGGAGGCCCCCGCCGGCTCCGGGAACGGCGGCGGCGCCGAACGCCGGGGCGGGGAGCGGGGGAACGGCTCCGGGAGGAGCGGGCGGGGCGGCTTCCAGCGATCCGGCGCGGCCCGGGCTCAGCCAGCAGCAGCGGGCGAGTCAGCGCAAGGCGCAGGTGCGGGGCTTCCCCCGCGGCAAGAAGCTGGAGAAGCTGGGGGTGTTCTCGGCCTGCAAGGTGCGCGGGGGCTGCGGGGCGAAATGCCGCGCCGTGCGGGAGGGGACGCGGGGCTGCGCGCGGGCGGTGCGGAGCGCCGGGCTGCGCTGGGCGCTGAGCTGCGCTGCGCTGCGCGTGCACGGGCGGGGGGTGCGCGATCCTGAGCTGCTTCCAGGGAGAGCGTTCAGCGTTGGGCTGCGATGGGTGCCGGGGCTTTGTGGGGGGTGGGTGGGTGAAGCCGCTCGGCCGTTTGGTGGCTGCGTCGCGCGCTGGGCTGCTGCGTGATGGCCTCTCCCATCCCTCCTGCAGGCTAACGATGCCTGCAAGTGCAACGGCTGGAAGAACCCCAACCCTCCCACCGCCCCGCGCATGGACCTGCAGCAGCCGGTGACCAACCTGAGCGAGCCCTGCCGCAGCTGCGGCCACGCGTTGGGTAACCCCCCCGCACCCCCGGGGCTGCACAGCTGCCGGGACCCCCGGGATGGGGAGCGGTGCCCCCCCTCACCGTGTGCTGTCTCTGCTGCAGCCGACCACGTGTCCCACCTGGAGAACGTCTCGGAGGAGGAGATCAACAGACTGCTGGGCATGGTGGTGGACGTGGAGAACCTCTTCATGTCAGTGCACAAGGAGGAGGACACGGACACCAAGCAGGTCTATTTCTACCTGTTCAAGGTGCGTCCATCTGTCCTGCTGCTCACCCTCTGCCTGACCTGCAGGCAGCTGTGCTCTGTGAGCCCCATTTCAGAGCTGCAGAGCTGCTGTGTCCGATCTCCCAGGTTGGGAGGTGTCTGGGGAAGGAACAGGCATTGAGGTGCTGATGGTGTCCCATGGGGTCTTTGCAGCTCCTCAGGAAGTGCATCCTGCAGATGAGCCAGCCGGTGGTTGAGGGGTCACTGGGGAGCCCCCCGTTTGAGAAACCCAACATCGAGCAGGTGAGGCTGCTGTGGGCTGTGCTGGGGACTTGAGCTGGGGACAGGCTGGGCTGAAAACCTTAAATCGAGCGAACACAGCAGCATTTTGGCATCATGGTGACCCCACACACTGTTGCAAACTCATGGAGCTCTCAGCTTTGTCACAGAGAGTGGAAAATGTGTGTGTGTGGTGGTGGTGGCGATGGCCCTTCTGCTCCTCCTGCTTCTCCAGGCCTCCTGCTTGGATCTTGGAGGTGCCTGTGGGCAGCTGGGCTCTGTGGTGCAGTGACCCACGGCCCTGGCACTCCCCAACCCACTCCTCTCCCCCAGGGGGTCCTGAACTTCGTGCAGTACAAGTTCAGCCACCTCCCGCCCAAGGAGCGGCAGACGATGTATGAGCTCTCCAAGATGTTCCTGCTCTGCCTCAACTACTGGAAGCTGGAGACGCCGTCGCAGTTCCGACAGCGCTCGCAGAACGATGACGTGGCCACTTACAAGGTCAACTACACCAGGTGAGGAGGGGGCCACCTCTGCCTGGGTCTTTCAGCAGCACTGCTGCCGGGGGGTCCCAGCCGCAGGAGCGCACGCTCTCTCCCGCAGGTGGCTGTGCTACTGCCACGTGCCGCAGAGCTGCGACAGCCTTCCCCGCTATGAGACCACGCACGTCTTTGGGCGCAGCCTCCTCAAGTCCATCTTCACTGTCACCCGCCGGCAGCTGCTGGAGAAGTTCCGCGTGGAGAAGGACAAGCTGGTGCCGGAGAAGCGCACGCTGATCCTCACCCACTTCCCCAAGTAGGTGCCTGGCACGGGGCTGCCATCTGCACGGCCGTTTGCCCCTGTGCTCCCCCCGGGCTGTGCGCACCCAGCTCGGCACGCTGCTCCCTGCCAGGTTCCTGTCCATGCTGGAGGAGGAGATCTATGGTGAGAACTCACCCATATGGGAGGCGGATTTCACTGTGCCAGCTGCGGAGGGCACCCAGCTGGTGTCACGCCCAGGTACCATAGGGTGATGGCTGGGCCGGTGCTGTCACTGCTGCAGTGTGGATGGGGCTTCCTCGTACTTATGGCTGTCTGCTCTCCTGCAGCCGCTGTCAGTGCCGTCACAGTGCCCACCGCACCGCTCTTCAGCAAGAAGCTCAGCAGCAGCAGCTTGGCCACGAGCATGGACACCGGCACGCCGGAGCCTCTGCCAGGTAGGGCAGTGCAGGGAGTGGGAGCAGCTCCAGCCCAGTGCTGGGGGCTCTGCCTGACGAGCTGCGTGCTGCCCCAGGGGAGAAGCGGAAGCTGCCCGAGAGCCTGACGCTGGAGGATGCCAAGAGGATCCGCGTGATGGGTGACATCCCCATGGAGCTGGTGAACGAGGTGATGCTGACCATCACCGACCCCGCTGCTATGCTGGGCCCTGAGGTACGGGCTGGGGGGGCACGTGGGGACGGCACCGCTGTGGGGCGCAGCTCGTGGGGTGCTGGCATCTCGGGGGCTCTGAGGTCCTGGGGCCGGGGGGGCTCAGCTGCCCCCTATGCAGACCAGCCTGTTGTCGGCCAACGCGGCGCGGGATGAGACCGCCCGGCTGGAGGAGCGCCGCGGCATCATCGAGTTCCACGTCATTGGCAACTCGCTCTCGCAGAAGTCCAACAAGAAGATCCTGATGTGGCTGGTGGGCCTGCAGAACGTCTTCTCACACCAGCTGCCCCGTATGCCCAAGGAGTACATCACCCGCCTCGTCTTCGACCCGTGGGTGCTGGGGGGTGCGGGGGCTGCGTGGGGCTCCCCCCGTCTCACTGTCAATTTGGCCGCAGGAAGCACAAGACCTTGGCACTCATCAAGGATGGCCGCGTGATTGGGGGCATCTGCTTCCGCATGTTCCCCACCCAGGGCTTCACCGAGATCGTTTTCTGTGCCGTGACATCCAATGAGCAAGTGAAGGTGAGGCCGTAACCCCCCTGGGGGGGCTTACAGGCTGCCTTGGGGGTGTGAGGACCCCATCTCATGGCAGCCCCCCCCCAGGGCTACGGGACGCACCTGATGAACCACCTGAAGGAGTACCACATCAAGCACAACATCCTCTACTTCCTCACCTACGCCGATGAGTACGCCATTGGCTACTTCAAGAAGCAGGTGGGTTCCTCTCCCTGCTGCTCTCCCCAGCCCGATCCTCTGTCCCTGAGCTCCCTCCCACTTCTCCTCCCTTCCCAGGGCTTCTCCAAGGACATCAAGGTCCCCAAGAGCCGCTACCTGGGCTACATCAAGGACTACGAGGGGGCAACCTTGATGGAGTGTGAGCTGAACCCCCGCATCCCCTATACTGAGCTCTCCCACATCATCAAAAAACAGAAGGAGGTACCTTTGACTCCCCCAGAAGTGAGGGGATGGGGTGTCCCAGCTTCTGGGAACCATCCCTCACTCACCCTTGCAGCCATGCTCACAGGATCACTGCAGTGCCATCTGGGGGAGGGCTGCTTCTGGCTGTTGCTCTGGGTCTGTCGGGGCCTCATGTCCTGCGGTGCGTGCTGACGTGCCACTTTCCCACTGCAGATCATCAAGAAGCTGATTGAGAGGAAGCAAGCACAGATCCGCAAGGTCTACCCTGGCCTGACCTGCTTCAAGGAGGGCGTGCGGCAGATCCCCATTGAGAGCGTCCCTGGCATCCGTGAGCTCTCCGTGCTGCCCAGGCGGGGGGTGGGGGTGGCAGGGCTCATCCAGACCTCTTGGTGAGGTGCAGTGCCCCAGTGTATGGGGGCAGAGCCCTCTGGTGATGCTGACCCTTTCCTTCCAGGAGAAACGGGTTGGAAACCGCTGGGGAAGGAGAAGGGGTGAGTGAGGGGTCCCGGGGCGTACTGGAGCTGCGGGCTCCTGCTCCGTGCCACCCCTGGCCCTCCAACGGTAGCCTTGTTCTGGGGTGCAGGAGCCTCGTGCTGATGGGCTCTGCTCTGCCCTGCAGGAAGGAGCTGAAGGATCCGGACCAGCTCTACAACACCCTGAAGAACCTCCTGGCCCAGATCAAGGTGCGGGGCGGGTGTGCGCTCCTGTGCCATCTCCCGTGCTGTCCCTGGGAGGGGACGGCCAGGTGTCCCTGGCACGGCTCTGCCTGGGCTGTGGGCGCAGGGCAGATGCTGCAGTAACTCTGCCCCCCTCCCCCCAGACTCACCCCAGCGCGTGGCCCTTCATGGAGCCGGTGAAGAAGTCGGAGGCGCCGGACTACTACGAAATCATCCGCTTCCCTATCGGTGGGTGCCTGGGGGCTGTGGGGGTAACGGGGGATTGCAGCACGCCCCAAAGCAGTGCCGGGCAGGGGGTGTCCTAGGGGGCGAGCCAGGCGTCAGAATGGGACCCATCAGGGACCCCCCTGACTGTGGCTGGTAGCTGGAGGGGGACCTGCCTGCAGGGCTGGGGGGGGGAGGGCACAGTGGTGTGATGGGGCCCAACTCCTTCCCACCCCCAGACCTGAAGACCATGACTGAGCGCCTGAAGAACCGCTACTACGTCACCAAGAAGCTGTTCATCGCCGACCTGCAGCGCATCATCACCAACTGCCGCGAGTACAACCCGCCCGACAGCGACTACTGCAAGTGTGCCAACACCCTGGAGAAGTTCTTCTACTTCAAGCTGAAGGAAGGGGGGCTCATCGACAAGTAGGGGGTGGTCTGGATGTGCTGTGGCTGCCACGACCCCCCCTGCTCCCGTTGGCGGGGAGGGGCAGGGCTGCTGCTGCCCCCGGAGGGGCCATCCGGGATGCAGCCCCGTTCTGTGGGCAGGGGCTGCTGCTGGGTGTGCTGCTGCTGCTGCTGCTGCTGGGGGGCGAGGGGTGGGCAGCTGCGGTGCTGCCAGTCCCTCTCTAGGGGGTCGTGGAAGGGGGGGCTGGAGCGGGGCTGCCTCTCCCCCCAGGGTTGTGCCTTCTGCCCCCGCTCGGTGCCAGGGCAGGGGCACACAAGTGCTTTGGTGTTCTGCACGGACCTCAGCCCCTGCTCCTGTCCGTGCACGGGCAGCGCCGGCCCCTCTTCTTGAATGTACTGTGGGGCACCTCCCTGCCCCCCCAGGCTGCAGGGCAGAGGTGCTGAGCTGGGCGATGTCCCTCCTCCTGCTGCCTCTATCAGCTCTTCCGTCCTGCAGGAGCGCACCGTCTGCTCTCCCGCCACTGCTTGTAGCCCTGCAGGGAGTGGTGGGGGCTCTTCCAGCTCCTTGATGTGGTTGGGGGCCTACCCCCCCTTCCCCTTGCTGTCCTGCAGCCCCGAGGTTGGGGCTGGCTGTTGTTTGCATCCCTCCTTGTGCCCGTGTGTCCCTGTATCTCCGTGGGAGCTGTGTTGGGGCGCATCCCAAGTAGAGTTAATGTGTCCTCCTCCCCGTCCCGCATTTGATCGCCTGCTGCCTTATCCCCGTGCTGTCCTCGCTGTGTGAACTCTGGTGCTGCTCTACAGGCTCACTGGCCTTGCTGGGGTGGGACCAGACCCTGACCCACTGTTCGCGTCCACCCATTCCATGTGACCGTTTTGTTTGGATTGGTTTCTTTTTTTTTTTTAATTATTTTTTATTTTTTGAGTAAACGTACTTGTGCAGAGCCAGCTGTCCCTGTGCCTGACCGTGCGGCAGGAGCGGGGGGGCTGAACTCAGTGCCTGGGGGGGGCAGTGGGTCAGAGGATGGGCGGTGGTTGGGGTGCACGGTGCCGATATGGAGCCGCCCCCGGAGCGCGATGACGCCGCGGAGCTCCGCCTGCTTTCGGTTTCTGTTCAGGTCCGAGGCTCCCGGCGGGGGGGCGGCCCGGAGGCGGCGGGGGTGCGGTGCGGTGCGGTGCGGTGCGGTGCGGTGCGGTGCGGCCCTGCCGGAGCTCCCTCTCCCAGCGCAGCTCGGCACAGCGGGCGGCCCCGCTTTCCTTTCACGACCTCCCTTCCTCCCGCGCTCCGTTCCCCAGCCGGGACTCGGCGATGGAGCTCCGCGAGTACCAACTGGAGGCGGTGGCCCCGGCCCTGCGCGGCCGTAACAGCATCGTGTGGCTGCCCACGGGCGCCGGCAAGACCCGCGCGGCCGTGCACGTCTGCAGGCGGCACCTGGAGGAGCGGCAGGGCGGCCGGGTGGCCGTGCTGGTCAACAAGGTGCCCGAGGACCCCGCACCCCCGGGGACGGCGGGGCCACGGCCGGGACTGACGATCTTCTGGGTGCCCATCAGGTGCACCTGGTGCAGCAGCACTTGGAGAAGGAGTTCCACGTCCTGCGCGACGCCTTCAGAGTGGCAGCGGTCAGCGGGGACAGCAGCCATAAATACTTCTTCGGGCAGCTGGCGAAGGGCAGCGATGTGGTCATTTGCACAGCGCAGATCCTGCAGAACGCGCTGCTGAGCGGGGAGGAGGAGGCGCACGTGGAGCTGACGGGTGGGTGTGGGACCCCACGGCCGGGCTGGGGGCTGCCCCGGGATGAGCGGCTCACCCCACTGCCCTGCTTTGCCCGCACAGATTTCTCCCTGCTGGTGATAGATGAGTGCCACCACACTCACAAGGAAGCTGTCTACAACAAAATCATGCTGAGTTACCTCCAGAAGAAGCTCAGCGGACAGCGGGACCTGCCGCAGATCCTGGGCCTGACAGCATCCCCTGGCACCGGGGGGGAAACTTCCTTCGAAGGGGCCGTGGAGCACATCCTGCAGGTGGGTGCTGCTCCCCGCTCCTGACCTTCTGGGGCTCCAAATGGGGTGGGTTCTGGTATCCTGCTGTGCACTGCGTGGTGCTGGGCTGCTAGGCCTCAGGGCTGGCTTTGGGGTTCTTCCCTTTCAGATCTGTGCCAACTTGGACACCGAGGTGATCACATCAGTGCAAATGCACGCACAGCACCTGCAGAGCCATGTGCCCCAGCCCAGGAAGCAGTACGACCTGTGCCAGGAGAGAGCACTGGTGAGAGGTGGTGGGTTGAGCCCACAGTGCTGCTCCTTGTGACCCCAAAGCTCTCATTTGCTGCTGAGTCGGGGGTCTCCCCTGGCTTTTTGGTGCCCACCCCCCACGTGGATTAGGCCAACTGCAGGAATCAGCACACCCAGAGCCCACCTGGGTCCTGCCTTGCAAACCACCCCAACCCCCCCCAGCTGTGCCAGAGCAATATCCCCAATCCCATGGATCCTGAGCCCGCTCTGCCCCCAGGACCCCTTTGGCCAGCGGTTGAAGAAGATCATGGCACAGATCCAGGAGCACATGGAGATGCCCAGACTGCTGCAGGACTTTGGCACGCAGGTGTACGAGCAGCACATCGTGGAGCTGGAGAAGAGAGGTGAGCAACTCACCCAGGTAGGGTCCTGGGGGGATGATGGGCTGGTGGGGCGGGATGTGACGCACTGTCACCGTTCTTTGCCAGCGGCAGAGAGTTTTTGTCGCAAGACGCGGGTGTGCGCGCTGCACCTGCGCAGGTACAACGATGCACTGCTGATCAACGACACCGTGCGCATGATGGACGCCTTCCAGTGCCTGCAGCAGTTCTATGCTGCTGAGAGGGACACAAAGGACCCCACCGAGCGCTTCCTGGCCACCACCTTTGAGGGTAAAGGAGAGGTGGAGGGGAGCAGCAGGGCGGTGCAGGCTGCTTTTGGGGCGCAGCCCTCACACCCACTTCTCTGCGCAGAGAACAGGGCCACGCTGCTGGCGCTGGCCGGAGACCAGCGTTACGAGAACCCCCGGCTGAGCAAACTGGAGGAGATCCTGCAGGAGCACTTCTCGCCCCGGGGCTCATCTCGTGGCATTGTCTTCACCAAGACCCGGCAGAGCGCACACAGCCTGCTCAGCTGGCTGCAGGACACGGCCGGGCTGTGCGGGCGGTACATCAGGGCGGCCGCGCTCACCGGTACCGGCTACAGCAACCAGGCCAAGGGCATGACCCAGGTGGGGGGCCCAGGGTGTGCACGGCCCCACTGTGCTCCAGGGCAGTGCTGATGATGGGATGGAACTGGGTGGGGATCCAGCCCGACCCGTCTCTGCACGCTCTGTGGGTGCCGTGTGTGCTGTTAGGGGCTCGGAGCCATGCCAGCCCTCAGTCCTGGGGTACCACTGAAGTGCCCCCCCTTCTCTCCCCAGAATGAGCAGCAGGACGTGATCACACTGTTCCGCAGAGGAGAGCTCAACCTGCTCTTTTCCACCAGCGTAGCTGAGGAGGGCCTGGACATCCCTGAGTGCAACATTGTGGTGCGCTACGGGCTGATGACCAACGAGATTGCCATGGTGCAGGTAGCATCCAGGATCCCCCCAGCCCTGAGAAACCTGGGTGGCACCTGGGGACCCCCAACACCTCTGGTGCCTACTGACAGCTCTTGGGGTGAGCCCGGCCCTGGCACAGCATTGCCCGTGGAGGTGCAGGGTGCAGGGGGAGCACTCTGCCCTGCCCTGTGCATTCTGTGGCACGAGGGGCTCTGCCATGCCACAGTGTTTGTTCTCTCTGCTGCAGGCCCGGGGTCGTGCCCGTGCCCAGAACAGTGTGTACTCTGTCCTTGCCAAAGCCAGCAGCCGGGAGGTGTTCCGGGAGCAGCTCAATGAGAACCTGGTGGAGCTCATGGAGAGGGCCATCAGCACAGTGCAAGCCATGCCTGAGAGGGAGTACCGCTTGAAGGTGAGCGCAGGGAAGGCTGCACTGCTCCTTCCTGCATCTGCCTGTGGGCACAGCCCTCTGCACACCGATTTTAGGTACCTGCTCTCCCCTTGAGGCAGTGCTGGCTTCTGGAGAGGGATAGCAGAAACTGTATGGCACAGCATGTCTCTGTCCTTCCATGCAGTTTGTCCTCCCTGGGATGCTGCATCTCTCTATGGCCACATCTCTTACTGCACCTGCAGCCTGTCTGTGTGTCATCCTTGCTGACCCCATCCTCCTGCCTATCTGCCCTCCTTGCAGATCCAGGAGTTGCAGAGAAATGCTGTTCTCAGCTGGCAAGTGAAGGAAGACAAGAGCAGCAAGAGGCGGCAGCTGCACGATCCGGATGACGTTTACTTCCACTGTGTCAACTGCAATGTGGCCGTGTGCCGCGGCAGCGACATCCGCACAGTGGAGGCCATGCACCACGTGAACATCAACCCCAACTTCAGGTAGGAGGAGACGGGCAGAGTCCAGTGGTCAGAGCTGAGCTCTGCCCAGAGCAGGGGGGTGGCTGCTGCCCGCTCCTCCTTGGGGACATTGGTCCAGGGAGGTCACAGGAGCTGTGTGGGACTGTGGGAAGGCTGAGTTTTGTCCCCAGGAACACCCTCTTCAGGTGTCTTTTGTTTCCTTTCTTACAGGTTTTATTATACAGTCTCACCTGGGAAAATACAGTTTGAGCGGACGTTCAGGGACTGGGAGCCCGGGTGCCGCATTGTGTGCAGTGAGTGCAGGCAGGTGAGCTCCTGGGCCGTCACACAGCCCATGCAGCAAGAAACAGGAGCTGCATTTCCCTTTAGCCTGTGGGTGCTGCACGGGTGGACCATTGTCGTGGGCAGCTCCTAAGGGGGATGTGTGCTGGGAGCAAGGAGCTGCCTCCAGCTTCCAGGCACGGGGCCAGGTGCAAGGTCCTGCAGCCCAGGGCTGTGTCACCATGTGTGTGAGTGTCCCCTCCCTGTCCACACAGGAGTGGGGAATGGAGATGATCTACCAGAACGTGACCTTACCCATCCTCAGCATCAAAAACTTTGTGGTGGTGACCCCGGATGAGACGAAGAAGTACAGTAAGTGGAGCAGAGTGACATTCCCCATCCAGGAGTTCAGCTACCTGGAGTACTGCTCCAGCACCCAGGACGAGTCCCTGTAGTGCCGACTCACTCAGGGCTGCTCCCAGGCCACACCTGGGGCAGGAGGAACCTTTCCATCACCTCTGGGACAGGACATCGCTTCAGGCCCCTGCAGGGGGCTGCACCTCTCTGCTCTCTGCAGCCGCGTCACAGCCCGTCTGTGTGCAATCCTGCGGGAGTGACCGCAAAACTCTGCTAAAGGACTTGCGGTACCGGGACGGGGCAGCCCCGTGCCCCCGCTGCCGGGCAGCGGCTCCCGTCCCTGCGGTGCTGGAGCTGCTGCCGCGGCGCTGCATCCGCGTAGCGAACCGACGGCCCGCGGTGCGATCCGGCGTCCGTCTGCTTTATCAAGTCGGGCATCCCGCGTTGTCAACGCGCGTGGTGGGTACCTGGAAAGCGCTGTGCAGTGTCTTCCGTCGTGCGAGCTGGGCTCGGGGCAAAGAACGCGTTGCCCTGTTCGTGCTTCCACCCCGCTCCTTCTCCCCGTCCCTCCCCGCTGTGCTCTCCCGCCGGCGGTCGCTAGAGGGAAGCCCGCTCCCGTCCCGCTGCGGGCGCTGTGCGGGGCCGCCCCGGGGGTTCGGCTTTGTTTGGGGGCAGGGGCCGCCGTGGGGCTCAGCCCAAATTCAGACGGGGGTTCCCTGGGGGCAGCACGAAGCCGCGCTCCCGCTCCGCAGAAACCGGGTAATGAGGCCGCGTGAGTTATTTGGAGCTCTTTGTGGGCTGCGGTGCCCTCTCTCCAGGATAAGGCCCCTCTGCGGGGACCCCGGATCATTTTGCTAAGCTCTAATTGCCCTGATTCGTGCTTGGAGAATCCAGGCTGTGAGTTAACCTGATGGTGCCTGCGGCACTGACCTCTCAGTCTGCATGGAGCTGACTGTTCCCTTATCCTCTTTGCTCCTTCAAACCAAAGCTTCTGCAACGTTGCCCCAAGCTTCCCCATCTTTAGAGGTGCAGCACACCCCATGGGATATGGGACCATGAGAGCATTGCAATGTGGGGCTGTGTGGGGTTTGGAGGCATCCAACCTCTGCTCCTTCCTCCCATCCCTGCTTTACCCCCAGCCCTGTCTGGCTGCCCCCTCCCTGGAGCTTGGGCACCTTGGGTGCAGTGGCAGAGAGCAGCCGAGCTACAGTGATTGCTGCTGTGACCTTGGCTGGTGTCCTTCAGAGCCATTGTCCTTCAGAGGGAGAAATCTGTACCCTCCCTCCCCCCCCAGCAGCTCTGCCCTACATCCTCCTGGTGCTGGAGCAACCACCTCCAGGTGGGGCGGGGGGCTTCTTCCCTCCCATCAGCGGTTCAGGTCACTCCCACACCCATCTGGTCTGCAGCACACTCATGCTCTGACCTCAGAGCCACAGGGACATGGGGGGCTGAGGGTCCCCATTCCCCAGGTCCACATCCCCCTGCCACCCCCTTCCTTGTGCAGCTCAGGGCCAGGCAGGCTTCTCCTGTGATTAAAACAGACTGAGAGCCCCACTTCATCACTACAATTGCCCTGTCGATATGCAGGCATTAGTGAGGGCTGCTGGACCAGTCCTTGCACACTGACACATCCCTGTCAATAACCCCTGGATTTAAGCCCGTGGCTCAGAGCATCTTTGCTTATCTCAGCTCCCCAAAGCACTTACGTTCCCAGCCATCATAACTCCCTGCCTGTAAGCACAGTCAGGCACCATTAGAGCTGGAGCAAACAGCTGCTGCAGCAAATTCTGTGGCTAAAAGTGCCATGAAGGTGTTTTCTACCTGCTCTGTTGCAGGTGAGTTCCTGCAGCCCAGCAGGTGAGGGCTCTGCATGGGGTGGGCTCACAGTGCAGAAGCGTCCTGCAGCAGTGCGTGCCCACAACAGTGCGTGCTCACAGAGCTCTCCTGATCGAGGACAATGCAAGGATTTATTTTTATTCAGCCCATTTCATTTATCTCTGGCACATCACAGAGCGACAATTCACCTCTCAGTGCACCAGCTGCAAAAAGCTCTGCTCCCTCTGCCTGCAAGCGCCTCAGATTGGCCCTTCCTGAGGCCGGGTGTTTAGCAGAGACTTACAGCTCAATCTATTTAGCTTATCGAAAAGCAGCCTGAGATGTGCCTTGATTGCAGTGTACAAGCACCTTCCTGGGGAGAAAAGTGCCAGGTATTAAAAGCCCTTTAACTTTGCTGAGTGAAGAATAATGAGAACCGAAGGCTTGGAGATAAAGTCAGACGAATGGAAACTCAGAACCTGCAGATCTGCAGCCAGAGGGGTGCTGGGGGGGCCTCTCTGAGTGCAGTGCTGGGCTGGGCAGCTCCATCCTCTGCCCAGTGCTGGCTGACGGCGGGCAGCAGCAAGGCTGGGCTGGTGGCACCGGTGGGCACAGGGGGCGAGGGGCTGAGCTTTGCTTTCCAGCATACCTGAAGCTCCCGCACTCTGCTGAGCCTGAGAGCAGAGGTGACCTTTCCTGGGGCAGCCAGAATGAGGGAAATTTCTGCAGCAAGGGAAATTCCAGCCTGCTGGGAAGCGTGCATCATGGTGCAACTCCAGCCCCAAAATCAAGCGCCTCTCTTCACTCTGCTTGCTCCCCTCTTTCCACATGTGCAGTGGGGGCAAGAGAGGCTGCAGCCCCTGCTGAGCACCCCAAGGAGCCCCAGGAGCTGCTGCATAAGGTCTGTAGCAGAGCTCAATTTGCTCCCTGCAGTTCCTGCGTGCCCAGGCTCAGCTGCAGCCAGCAGAGCATGAAGCAGCTTTGCAGGTGCAAAGGCAAATCTGTCTGCCTGGCAGCTCCCAGATTTCAGAGCCAGGGCACAATGACACAGCTCTGCTCCAACTGCTGCGGTGCTGCCAGCTTTATCCCAACCTTCCTCTCCACCTGCCATCACTGCACCGCAGTCAGCACTGCACGCAGCGCTGCCCTCTCAGCTGCTATTGAAAAAATGAAATGAAAGGAAAACTCTCATCCTGGGCACGCGTGGACAAAAAGGAGCGGTGTGGCTCCAGCCCTGTGCTTGGGGTGCCTTCATAAAGGCAGGTCTGCACCTGCAGATGGTTGGTGCCTCAGCAGAGCAGCGCAGGCGGCTGTGGTGACCAGAGGTAACTGCTGGAGTCCGCACAGCCCGGGGCTCTGGAGAGGACCAGGAACACAGAGAAAAAATATCAAATAATTCCCAAACAACATTTCATGCACTAAATATCTGGGCTGTGATTCTGCTGAGACCTGGCTTTATAATTGGATCTGTCAAAAACCCATCACACTTAATGTGCAGCTGTCACCAAGACGGTGCTTTCATGCTTCACCTCAAGGCTGATGCTGGATTCCCCCTCTCCTGTCCTCTCTGTGGGCTGGATCCATCCTGGGAGCCTGGAGCTGCCCGGCCAGCAGAGCCTGTGCTGGTGACCCATTGCAGCTCCTGCTGGCCCCATCACATCATCTTCCCACAGAGGAAAGCTCAGGGAAACCCCAGAAGTGCACTGGGCTCTGGTACCAGTAAACCCACCTGAGTTCCACCAGGCAAGGAGCAGAAGACGTAATGGGGATGTATTGACACCATTCATTAGCTGATGTAAATGAGCTTTGTATATTACTGCATTCCTGATTCATTGTTTGCAGGAGAAGGACAGAAATGTGTTCCTTCAAACTGTGCTTTGCTGCGCCCAGCCCTGCGGACCCCTGGCTCCCTGCCCACCATAAATTAGGGGGATCCCTGGAAGGTGCTGAGACTGGGAGCAGTTCTGCTGGGATGGGATGGAGATGAGGTGAGGGTGGGGATTGGGATGAGGATGAGGATGGAGATGAGAATGGGGATGGAATGGGGATGGGGTGGAGATGGGATGGGGATGGGGATGAGGATGGGGATGAGGATGGGGATGGGTGGTCCCAGCAAGGCTGTGGTGGTGTCGGTGAGGCGTGGGAGCTGAGCAGCCTGCAGTTGCTGAGCACACGTGTACCTGTGTTTTTCACCTGAGTAATCAAAGTCTTTATCCAGTGTTTGATTAAAGGCCACGAAACACATTATCTTTGATTCTTTCACTTTATTTTTTGTTCCCTTCATTTGTCCCTTGGAGATGAGGGTTGCTCTGGTAGTTATTAGTCACAAAGCCCTAACCTCGCACTGCATTCTTGCTATCTGAGAAATGAATTATTAATGGTGCATTAAACAGAGACTGGAAAGGGGCCCTGGGACACTGATAATCAGGAGCTAATTGAGGAAGAAATGAGATACGGCTCTCCTTGCAGAGTGAGGGCTGTGCAGATACCGAAGGTGACCCCACTGCACCTCCTGCCCCACCGCAGCGAGCAGCTGCTCAGCTCCTGCTGATGGCCAGGTGGGCACACAGCTGGACACACTGCTGTGGGCGGGATGCTTTCCTCTGTGATGGTCTCATGGAAGGGCTGCATGACGAGGCAGGAGGGCTTATATCCCAGTGTGCCTTTATTTATTGCCAGGTGCACTGCTGGCACTGCCTGTGGGTCCGTTCCCTTGGCCTGCTCTGTGGATGCTGTGGGCATGGGGAGGTGGGGGCTGCCAGGGCCCAGCACAGCACAGGAAGGGATGTAGCTCCCCTCCCTCTCTTCTGCAATGAGAGCTGAACAATTTCCATCATCTTTTATTTCTTCTCTTTTGCTATTTCTCTACAGCACAGGCCTGTCAAGATTTTCTTTCCCCGCTCCAGCTGCATTAAACTATAAAAAACGTCTCCTCTGGCCAAGCTGAGCAGCAAACCTGGGTGAGCAACACAGCTTCCTGCAGAGGCTTCAGGCAAAGCTGAGCTGGGGCAGTGATGTCCTGTCCACACCGTATGGGACCTGAGGACGGCTGAGATTGCCTGCAGCCAATGCAGCAGCACTGCACAGCCTGCAGAGCTGTGGAGGCACAACGTGGGGCTGCATCCGTGGGCAGAGCTGTGCCTCTGCTTCCCCAGCACAGACCCACAGCATCAGCGCCCAGCACGGCAGGGATGCATCTGCCCCTGACCCAGGTGGAGCTGCAGGGAGGCGGGGAGCCTGCAGGGAGGGCAGCCTGCATCTGGGGGAGGGATGCTGAGAAAGGAAAATGAGAACTAGGCTTATTCTGCAGGGAGATGGCTATTTCTATTGCTGGAGCAGCGTTGGCCTCGGTGACATTCTCTGAGCCACAGAGGCAGCCGTAACCTTCAGGAGATGGCAGGCAGCAGTGAGGGAGCTGTGGGGAGCAGCTGTGCCCCCACCATCCAACCAGGTGCCCCCCCACAGCCCTGCCCTGCTCTGCCCCTCGGGGCTGTGCTGGGGGTCTCGGGGTTTGGCAGCTGCTCTGCCCCACTCAGCCCAGCTCCCACACAGACATCAACATTTCTGTGCCGACGCTTTTCTGAACAGAAAGCTTGGTCTGGAATTTCATTTAAACATTAAGTGTAGATAATTTATTTATAATTAATGTAGACATCAGG